GCAGAAGTTGTTGACTTGAGCCTTTCACAGCTCAGCATATTAATATGGCTTTACAATCTCCTCAAAAAATGATTTAGTCATACAAGTGGCACCTGTGACATGCCCATTGAATGTCCAGTTAGATTTTGAAGTATTTGAGGTCCAGTTTATTTCCAAATTATCATCTGGAACAGTTCTACATAAGGAACAAGCTGGGTGTGGTGGTGCACAACTATAATTCCAGCACTCAGGAGACTGAGGCAGGAGGATCGCTGTAAGGTCAAGGCCAGCCTGGACTACAAAGTGAGCTTAAGGCCAGCCTGGGGCTGGGGTGATGCCTCAGCGACCTAAACACCTGCCTGGCAAGCACAAGGACCCGGGTTCAACCCCTGGTTCTGTATTCTAAGCCATCTCTGGACTGGGTGCACCATGCCAGCCATGGTGGCACATACCTGTAATCCCAGCACTGGGGAGGCTGAGTCAGGAGAACCACTATGAGTCTAAACTGTGTAATGAAAGCCTCTATCAAAAAAAAAAAAAAGAAAAAAAGACCAGCCTGAACTACGTAGTGAAACCTGCCTCAAAAAGACCCCAAAAAATGGAACATAGAAAACAAGGTGAAAAGTAAGGTTCTTTATAGTGAAAACCCTGATCTTAAAATGTAACTATTTGAGCTGGGGAGACAACTCAGTGGAATAAATGCTTGCCTGGCAAGAGCAAGGGCCTGAGTTTGATCCCTGGAACCACAAAGAAACTAGAAAGAAGAAAGTAACTATTTGAACACATGTTTTCCAGATCGAAGCACTACAAGATAAAATTAAGAATTTAAGGGAAGTGAGGGGACACCTAAAGAGAAGAAAGCCGGAGGAATGCAGCTGCGGTAAGCAGAGGTGAGCTCCGCCCATCCCAGCCCCTCCCTAAGTCCCAAGCAGAGCTCCTGTGCGCGCATTGTCACCCGCATTGTCACGTGGTATAATGCCCTCAACTAAAGTAGATGTGGCATGCTCAAGCCGAAGGTTAAAAAAACAAGCCCCATTACCCTGAAACAGCGACGACGAAGTAACTGCCTACCTTCTGGATTGCTTTCTTTTTATAAACTGAACCATTTGATCACACGCAAGGCGCTGAAGACTCACTTTGTAACCTTCTGGCTTGCAGCTACTACAATAAAGAAAAAGGGGTGAAAAGGCAAGAGAAGTTCAAGAGCCATCTCCACCCATTCAAGTAAGTAACTCATAGTGTTCCCTGTTTCCTGGGGGACAAGCTCTGTCTGTTGTCATTCGAAAGGTTGCAGGGGTCCCTGTGCTCCCTGGTGTAGCTCTGGAGGGCTCGGGACACAGAAAGCCATGTCGCAAAGAGCTCTGAGATGCGCAAGGAATCCTTGAAGATCCCAACCTCCTTCTGCCCGCGCTCTGCTCCAGCATGGGCCATGGGATGGGCTCCCCCGCCCTCCCGTGTGCTCCATTCTGTGGGGTGTGGTGGGCATTTAGACTCTTGGTCAGGTTGGCGTCTTCTGCAGAGTAGCCTGTACTGGTGTTGGATTCTAAAGGGAAAAGAAACACAGGTATTTAAAATAATAGCAAAATTTTGCATGGGAAGGTTGAATATTTGAACCTTGACACAATTTAAACCTTGTATACAAAAACAAAGATAGAAAAATTTAATTTAAAAAAAAAATCGATTTTCCAAACTTGTTTTGTAAAATTTGCCAAAGCATTTTTAAAATCCTCTGGGGGAGGGTTGTATTTTTTTTTTTTTTTTTTATGAGAGGTTTAGTTTTTTGTTTTTGGTGCCAAGGACCGAACCCAGGGCTTCCAGCTTGCTAGGCAAGCATTCTACTGCTTAGACAAATCCTCAGCCCCTTTTAAAATCTTCTAACCCAAGCTATCTGTACAGTGACCACTGACTCGACCACTGTAGGTACTAAGCTACCAGAAAATCAGACGGTTTGTCCAGAGAGTGTGACTAACAGGACCTCTCAATCCCTGCTGCCATTTATCCCCAGCAATTTTTTAATATATATATTATACAGAGTCTCACTACACAGATCAGACTCGTAGTGATCCTCCTGTTTTCAGCCTCCCAAGTGCTGGGATTACAGGTGCACACCACCATGTCTAGTCTCAGTCACTGTCTCAGAGTGCCCCCAGGGGCGGGGCCAGCATGTCAGGTGGGGGATCAAACCCCAGTCCCTGCGCCTGCCTAAGCAGGTGCTTTAATCTGCTAAGCTATCTGGGTGGCCCTTTCCCAGCAATGTTTAATAAGGAAAAGCTGTGCTTTCCTGTGAAGTCTAAAGGTTCTAAGAGAGCTGGCAGGACCTCTATACAAAGTACGTGCCTTCTATTACTGTGCCTGTTGCTGCATATCTAAAGATTTATGAAAGACTCATTACATCCTCCTGCTTCTCACGAAGAAAGCGCCTTCTCATCGTCCCCCCAAATCCCTTCTGTTGGAATAGGGAGGCTGCCCAGGAAGTCGACAGCAAGCTGCAGCTTTTCAAGGAGAACCGTCGGAGGAAGAAGGAGCGGAAGGAGAAGAAACGCCAGCGAAAGGGAGAAGAGTGCAGCCTGCCCGGCCTCACCTGCTTCACGCACGACAACAACCACTGGCAAACGGCCCCGTTGTGGAACTGTGAGTCGCTCCTTCTAAAGTGTCGCTTCCTGCGGCCCTGCCGAGAGCTCTCCACTAGTTACCCAGTGCAGGAATTCAGCAGCACAAAATCCAGGCTTCGAGAGGAAAACACTGTATTGTATGTTATGCTGGGAAAACTTGAATCATTTTTGCCAAAAATGTCACATTAGTTATTTTGCTTAAAATGACAAGCTTGGCTCTGGGGTTTTCCCCCATCATGCTGGTTCACAGAACAGCCAGTAGCTGGCCGAGTTCCTACCCAGTAAGACTTTTATATGGCACTAGAGATCCATGCATGGGCATTTTGGTCATATAGGCTTTGTTTCTGCTTTATTTCAAGTTCATAAGGAAGGTGTGGTATGAGAAAGCCAACGCAAGGCCAAGGCCTGCTAGGTGCAGGGCCTGCATGCCAGTCACTGTGGTTCACTTTGGTGCTAGCACCGTGTTTATGGAATAATTTGGAAGCCACTGAAGCAATTAGTTTTACTGAATTGCTGCAGATGTGGAAAGACTGTGTGCTTTTAAAATTAGTGCTCATGTTTCTTTCAGTGGTCATGCACTGTATTCCTGGCAGGTGAGTAGGACTAATGCTCTGGATTCTGGTGGCCCATCATCTGACTGCAGGCTCGCCAGTCCATAGCTGTGCCCTCCGTCTTCCAACTGAGTGGGTCCTGGGAGACCACGCAGACAGTGTTTCTCCAACTGGGACTTGGAACTCGGAACGATGCGTAGAGCATTCCCAGCAGGGACCACGAGTCTATCTAGGGGAATTTCTATTTTGGTGCTTTTGATTTGTGGCCACATTTGCATATATACTCACCAGCACACCAAAGCCACATGACTCAAAGTGACAGCACTTAACTTTTGCTGTAGCTCCTTCAGTGGAGATGGAGGCCTTGAAGGGCCAGGTCGCTGGCGTCTGCACTTGCTGGGCTCTGGGCTGAGAGGTGGGGACTCAACAGTGGCCAAGCCACATTGATTGGTCCCTGCCACTCTCACCCCTATATTCTAGTGGTGGAGGGGTAAAAAAAGGTGAAGAATGTAAGTAAAACCATCACAAGTTGTAGTCATGCAATGAAGGAAATACTGATCAAAGTTTTTAAAGGGGTCCTTTTAGATAGGGTAGGGATGTTGGATGTTAATCAGCTTTCTGTTACTGTAACAAAGTAACTAAGATAATCAACTGAAAAAGAGAAAAGGTTTTCTGACCCACAGTTTTAGAGGTTTCAGTTGTAGCCATAGTCAGCCGTTCTCACTGCTTCTGGGCCTGGGGCAAGGATGCACAGCAAGTGGGAGTATGCAGTACAGGAAGCTGCCCACGTTATAGAGCAGGGAAAAGAAGGAAGAGGAACAGTGGGACCCAGACATCCCATTCCCACAAAGCCCACCTCCTTATAGTGTTACCTGAGGATGGCTCTTTGGACATCCCAGATACAGTAGTAAGAGGACTCTGCGGAGGTAAAATCTACAGGGTGGAGAAAAACCATCCTTTGGAAGGGGACAGCAGTACCCCAGTGGAGGGAACAGGATGAGCTGGGGCCTGAAATAGTAACACATCTGGTGTGGCCAGGACTGGAAAGTGTTTTGGCAGGTGGCCCATTCAGAGCAGGAAGTCGTCCCCTGCTCCTGCCAAGGAGCTCCCTCTGCCTCTGTCTGGTTCCCTGTCTGGGCTAAGGCCATCCTGCCCACATCACCGCCGCGTCGCACCTCAGCCACACTAAGCAGCCTGTGTGTCACCTAGTCTCTTCTATTCTCAGCCATCCTTTCTGCAGGGTTAGTGTGAATGCTTAATGACATCCAGTTTTCCAAAGCCCTGGGTACTACAACCCAGTCCCACTCAGGACCGCAGTCCTCCCTCTTCCTCTTGTCTGCTTCCACCATTTCTGTTTCTTCCTCAAGCATCCTAAGCCTCTCCTACCACAGGGCCATTGCATGTGCGGCTTCCCCTTCCTGGAGTTCTCTCCTCTCTGCCCACCCACCAATCCGGGCCCCAAACATATCCAGAGCTTAAGCTAATGTCACTTTTCACAGATGCCTTTCCTGTGCCTCAGACTATGTCAGTCGCCTACTACCTGGGCAGCCCCCATATCCATGGGTTCTGCCTCTGTGCACTCGGCTAATCACAGATGGAAAATACAGAGAAGTTTTTATCTGCACAAATAAATTATTCATGTACAGATCATTGCTCATCATATTTCCTAAACCAAACTGTGTAACAATTATTTACACAGCACTTACATTGAATCAGGTGTTTAAAATACTCTAGTGATGATTTAAGGTATATAGGAGGCTACATGTGGGTTATATGCAAATACTGTGCCATTTTATAGAAAGAAACTGAACATTACTTTTGATAGTCTCAGGGTGGGGAGCGGGAATATAGCCCAGCACCTGCCTGGCAAGTGTAAGATTGTGAGTTCGATTCCCAGTACCAAAAAAAAAAAAAAATTAATAATCAAATTACAAAAATAAAAAGGGGGGAGCTGGGGAGATAACTCAGTAGAATAAGTGCTTGCCTGGCAAGCGCAAGGGACTGAGTTCAATCCTCGGTTCCACAAAAAAATAAATAAATAAAAATAAGAAAATCAAATTAAATTAAATTTTAAAAAGATAATCTCAGGGGTAGTGGAGCCAGTCTCTTGCAAATAGCAAGTGATCACTGCAGTTTCATGCTGTGCCTACTAAGTATGCTTTTTAAAAAATTCTAGCATCACACTTCTAATGCGGTGAGCCAGAAACTCATTTTATTCTGGATACATGTGCTTCATGACTGCCTTTGTGTGAAAGATGATTCAGAAAATGTGTTGGTTCAAGAAACGTTCATCAGTAGCATGCGGAGTAAATCGGTTTACTCAATTCCAAACACGATTTAAGCATTATTATTGAAGGTACACTTCTAATTTTCATCACCCTTGAGATGTATCAGTTATTCTTGCAAAGTAATCAGAAGATAGTATATTTGTATACTTTATTAAATAAGCTCAATTCTCATTTAAATTTGATTGGGAAGATTTCTATACAGATTAGAAAACTGATTCCATGGTTTTTAATGCGCCTAGACATGACATAAATGTTCACAGACAAGTAATATAATTTTTTAATGTATTTGGTACAGGATCTCACTTGTAGCGATCCTCCTCTTTTCAGCCTCCCCAGCGCTGGGGTTACAGGCGTGCCCCACCATGTTGGTTCTTGGTGGCTGGCTCAGCGCGCCTGGGGGCAGGGCCAGCTAGGCATGTGGTGCTGGGGATTGAACCCCGGGTCCTGAGCTTGCCTAAGCAGATGCTTAGTCTGCTGAACTATTTTGCTGGTCCAGTAATATAAATTAGTAAAAATATATGTAGAGTATTTCCAGTGGAAAATCATATAATAAAAATCTTCTTCTCAGGGGCCAGGGATATAGCTCAGCAGCATAAGCACACAAGGTGCTGAGTTTGATCCCTGATACTGCTAAAAAAAAAAAAAAAAAAAAAAAAGTCAAGCATCCATTTTTTCTTCTGTGAAATATCTCTGGGGTAAGAGAGGTGCATATTCAGAGCACAGTGGTTTTTAGACCAACAAGCCCCATGCTGTGATGCCGAATGGCTGAAACCTGTCATTGTACATGTCCACACCCATAGAACACGGGCAGCAAGAGGAAGGATGGGTCCCTGCAGATTCCTCACTTATAACAGTTGGTGCCTTTGTGGACAGTGGGGACATTGCACTTCTGTAGAGACAGGCGACAAATGGGAGCATTGTATTTCTGCTTGATTTTTACATGATCCAAAATTTACTCCCTCGAACAATCCATTAAAATAATTTTTGGAAAAAAGCACATCCCTTGTAAATAAGAAAACATCCATTGTAAACCATTATCTCATCTCTATCCTCAATATTAATTGGATAGACTTGTACAACTAGTAGAGTGTAGTGGCTAAGGGTAAACCTGTCCAGATCCCCAAGCTGTCAGTTGTCCATTGTCTGGCCTTGGACAAATGACCTTACCTCTCTGCACCTCAGTTTTCCAATCTGAAAAGTGGGGATGATGATAATAATTTGTCTTGGGAGGTTATTTAAGGGTTACATGAGCTATAAAGACAAACCATTAAATTTGCAAGAATACTCATTAAGTATGCCTGCCCGAACTGCTTGTAAAAAATATTTGCTGGGGGCTGGCGAGATGGCTCAGTGGTCTAAAGCACCTACTTGGAACAAGCTTGGCAAAGCATAGGGACCACGGTTCGATCCCCCAGCACCACATGCCAGCCAGCCTCGCCCCCTGGTGGGCTGAGCTGGCCACACACACACACACACACACACACACAAAATAAATAAATAAATAAATAAATGTTTAAAAAAAAATATTTGCTGCTCCATTTCTAAAATTCAATCATTATAGGAAAAATCAACAAATTTAGGATTAGGACCTTTGCCCTTTCCCAAACACAAGAGTGGGTAATTTGTTTTTAAGTTTGACATCTGTACAAGTTAACTAGAGAACATCTGCATGACATAAAAGACATTCCTGGTCAAAACTGATCACATATCAGATAAAATACCGGGAGTCTAGAAGGATTATCAGTGATAGCTCCAGATCCACAAAGCTGGCTTCAAACCCAATGGCCTGAAAATTCAACTTGGTCTTTAACATTTATGAACTCACCATCTAGTTCTCCACTTTCACCTAGTACAATAACAAATTTATATTGAGAGAGGAGAAAATGCAGTTATCTTTAATATGTAACCATAGTACTTATAAGAAAGAATACTTGAAGTTCAAAGTGTGAAAATCAGGTGATGCCGAAAATCAGGCTGGCCTCCCAGAGTCTTTCATTCTGTTTGTGTTGTTGTCTTTCTTATCCAACAGTGGGATCATTCTGCGCCTGCACAAGCTCCAACAATAACACCTATTGGTGTTTGCGTACCGTTAATGAGACGCATAATTTTCTTTTCTGCGAGTTCGCGACTGGCTTTCTGGAGTATTTTGATATGAATACAGATCCTTATCAGGTAAGACAATGCATTCCATTTTATGAAGGTGGTTGGAAATGGCATACGCAGACATGAGTTCAAGTCCGTTCCCCTACTCTCTTCCTTCACAGCTCACAAACACAGTGCACACGGTAGAGCGAGGCATCCTGAACCAGCTGCATGTGCAGCTGATGGAGCTCCGAAGCTGCCAGGGCTATAAGCAGTGCAACCCCAGACCCAAGGGCCTTGAAAGTGGTAAGGAAAAGGAAACTTTTTTTCTAGGTTACCTGGGAAATTCTTGTATTACCACGTTTTTTGCCTTTGAAATGTCTATGTGCAGAGAAACACACAGTTTGGGATCCTTCAAGGGGAAACGCGCCCAGCAATCCCAAACACCAAACACAGTTTTATCTCTGAGTTTAGTCCTGGGTGTACTAGTGAGAAGCTTCATCCATCAGAAGATCTGGTATGTGTTTCCTCCCAGTCTCTCCCACTGGTCAGTTCTATTATGAATAGACCCCAACTGCCAACGGAAGCATCTATTGGAAAAGGAGATGAAAGATTCAGGGATTTCATTTTTACTGCTATCAACAGTCATAGGATCCCCTCTAAGTAAACCAGAAGATCCTCTTTTATTGAGTGAACTTGGATGGAAATGCAGTGCCCTGTTTCTGCTTGTCACCGTTTGGACAACCCCCAGTTGGATCTCTGCCCATGACACAGGAATTTGATTTCTCTTGCCAGTAGTTCCCATCTGAAAATAGAGATGCTGGAGCAGTTCATTAACTTGAGGCTAAACATATCAGAGGACCTGTATGGAACCAAGCAGACAGTCCTCCCCTGTTCTGCTGATTTGTCCTCTCACTCAGAGAGATGGGGCTTTTCTCAGGATTGGATCCATCTTCTTCCTGGTTAATGAAAAGATTCATTTCTTCTCATGTCTGCAGAATGTGAATAGAGCTGTCCCATAGAAGGAGGAAGTCCTGAGGTTAGCAAAAGAACCAGCAGGCACTACAAGTCAACCTTGGAAGGGTGAAGACCCGGACTCAGGGGGTTCTAGGAGCCCTTTTCATGCAGGCATGTTTCTCATGCATCTGTGGGTCCCATGACAGCCAGCATTCCTGCAGTAAAAGGGGCAGCTGTCTGGGTCATGTCACTTGAAGAGGGAAAGGGGCTCCTTTCCAAACTGATCAGCTTCCTTGCTGATCCTTTCCACCACAACAGGATCCTAAAGACTCCCAAGTTGTGGACATCCTGTAAGAAAACAAAAGTCCTGTGAGAGAGGTCACATCTCAGCTCTTGGCCAACCCTTTTCAGTTAACACTGGCTGGAAATCAGTTGCTGAGAAAAGATCAGACATGGCACAATAGATTTTTTAATCACTGAACCTACTCAACTCATATCGTCTCAAATATCCTGCTGACCCACTGATGCTTTCCTGAAATCTCATAGAAAGAAAATAAGGAACAGCCCACAAAGGCCTGGAATCTAAACCAAATCTTGGGGGCCCTAGAAATGTCTTTGGGACCCAGACACTCTTCTCAAAAGAGCAGGACACTCTTCATGCGCTGGAGACGACAGAACTGCTTCCTTCGTGAAATCTGAGCATGCCTTCAGCGGTGAGATGACAGCCCTGCTGGAGCCTTCAGTCTTTTAGCCACCAGCTGGTCCTCTCCACCTTCTGGTATAGTCTTAAGGGAAATTTCTATGGGCCCACTTTTCAAGAGTTTTGTCTAAAAATAACCAAAAATCAAGTTTTACTGGGAATCACATGGACTTCTGTGATTATTATTTTTTTAATGTATTTAGTACAGGGTCTACACCCTCTCACTACCTAGATCGGACTCTTAGTGGTTGTCCTGTTTTCAGCCTCCCAAGTGCTGGGACTACAGGTGCTTGCCACCACACCCAGTCTCAACTGCCGTCTCAGCACACCCTAGACACAGGACGTGCATGGCACAGTGGGATCGAACCTCCAACCCCTGCATCTGCCTGAACAGGCGCTTTAATCCACTGAACTATCTGGCCAGCCCATACATGGACATCTGGACATGCTTTTCCTCACTGCTTTTAAGTGACCTCTCCTCCTTGTTTTCCCACCCACTGTTTTGTGTGAACACTTACAGATTTTTAGTGTTACACCTTTTTATTTATAACATTCAGTCCTCATTCAACCCTCTCCAGTAGGAAATCCGTCAAATTGTATCACCGTCTGTATTTAACATAGCATGTTTCTTTCTAGTTTAGATGTTGTGTGCAGAAAACTGTGCAGTGAGTGATTTTACAAGTTCCAAAGCTGATATAAATTATTCTTGTGTTTCCCTCTACCAGGAAGTAAAGATGGAGGAAGCTACGACCTACACAGGTATTCACACTCCTTATTCTCAGCAGCACCTTTCCCAGTAGTTGCATGACCCTGGCATTCCAGCTGATTTCTGTTTCTTACTCATCGTCCAGAGTGTAGTCTGTGGCTCATGTTTGTCATAACAGTGTTCTCCTTTGTATTTGGCCACTGGGTACAGATCTGTCATTCTGCTTTTTAAATCAGTTCACTGCTCGGCCAGATGTCTCCCTGCACCTCCCCCACTCCCACACATGTCTGTTTGTTGGATGATGGAGTAAAGCAGGGAACCATGTGAAGGGGCAACCTCCACGTGGCCTCTGGGAGCTGGGGAGAGGGTGCGGCTTGATCATTTTCTCGACTGCTTCCACATTGATTTGGTGGGGAAGCTGCATGAGAATGAGATCTAACAGCAAAAGACCTAGTGAGAATTTGGAGAATTTCCTTGTTAATAGTCATTTACCAATCTTGGTAGGGGAAAAACAGTGATGATAAAGAGCATTCAGGAGGCTCATGGGTAAGAGGAGGTGCTGGGTTAGGGACAAGGTCTGGGATCAAGACCCACAGAAAGGTGCCGGCGTTGCACCAAGAGGGCAGTGCCTCCTCGGAGACTTTGTAACAGCCGTCAGCCCTGACATCTTATCCCCTGCAGCAGCACCCATCCTTCCTGCCTCACTGTGCCCACAGAGGAACCTGACTCCTGGTGGTTTGTCCCATGGTCACTCTGAAATGCCAGCCATTGCTGATTTCCTGCTCCAAGCAGAGATATTTGGAGGTCTCTCAGAAAATGACATGTGGGGCACTGAGGCAGACAGGTCAGCAGTGTAGTCAATGAATCCACTTGGGAGACAAACTGACATCAAAGAAGCATGGGCGTGGCCAGTGCCCTCTGTATGGATGCAGCGCCTTCTCAGAGAAGGGGAAGGGTATTGCCATGCAGGTGCCCTGTTGGCCATGCCACCTCCCCGCCATCCTCTGAGTCCAGGCATCTCAGAGGACTCCCTGGAGGCTTCTTGTCATTCCCACAAGAAAGAAGCTAAATGACAGTAGAAAAGACACCAGGTAGATGGGAAGAAACAAAGAAAGCTGGGCTCTTGGGGGTATTTTAGAGCCATTGAGACACCTCTTACCTTTCCTCCTTCCTCCATGATAACCCCATGTCACCTCAGCACAAATCCATAAGACCCCAAAAGAACCTGCTCGGGCTGCCTCCCTGGGTTGTGGCTGACGAGGCAGACCCCGTCATACTAGGGCAACTTTGCCTGCTTCACCTGGGTCACATAAAGCCATTTCTGAAGTGCAACCCTGTAAGTGGGCCTGTGACTCAGTACTGACTTTACAGTTACCTTATGATGCACTCGATTTCACAGTCTAGGGGTTTTCAGTCTCGCGTCCTTTCATTTCTGTCATGGGAGAGGTTGGGCGTTCACCAGCTGTTTAGGTCCTGTGCCTGGGCAGTGTCGAGTCAGGGATTCCCTAAGAGATCATCCTGGACAACTTTGAAGTGAAGGACGGGGATGCTCCCCTTTCCTGATCCCCACTAGCGCCACTCCATGGGCCACATAACCAGTTGTGCCTGGGGTCACTTTGACACAGTCTTAGTAATGTCAGCAGCAGAAAGCATGTGTGCAGGGAGACGGGATGCTACCTGCTGCTTTTCTTTCTCCTCCTTTTCCTTTCTCTTTTCTTTTTCCCCTCTATTCTTTCTCATTTCTGCTTACCTAAGGGCAAACTACAGATACTTTATAACTCAAAGTAGCTGGCACATTCAGATGATCTATAAGCCATCTCATGGTGGGTGTCCATGCTGCAGGCTGTCCCCAGGAGGACCCCTGCCTGATCACACTGGGACTGACTCGCTGGAGCCCCCAGGTGGTGCAGGCTATGGCCTTGCCTGCTGGCTCTTGTTTGGTTGAATAGGAACAGGTACAGAGCAAAGCCCTGGGGCCAGGAAGTCTGGGGGCCTGCTGCCCACACACCACTCCCCACTGGTGGCCTGGTTTCTATGCATGCCAAAGAATTTGATCAGTTTTAGAAAACTAATTAAAATATATTTTAACAATGAAGTTTGATGACAGAAGATCTTGAGAAATGATAATAAGCAGAGCTTTCCTTTTGGAAAATTCAACAGGGTAGTTTAATTGTTTGTTGTTTGTTTTTTTTTTGGGGGGGGGGCATTGACCAGGGTCTTATTTTGCAGTCCGGCCTTGAATTCACTGTGTAACCCGGGCTGATCGCAAACTCATAACGCTCCTGCCTCAGCCTCCTGAGTACTGGGATCACATGCATGCACCACCACAACAGGCAAGAGCAGTTTAAAAAATTGCTCTTATACAAAATGGAGCAAATAAGAGTTTTTAAACTGCTTTTTTGCACTTGGATTTTCAAAAACTAATCTTCAGGGGCCAGGGTTATAGCTCAGTGGCATAAATACTTGCCTGGTAAGCACAAGGTTTGAGTTTGATTCCTGGAACCTAAAGATAAAATTGACCTTCGTACTTACTTAGAGGGGGTGCAGGAAAGCATGTTCCTGCCCACACCCCCACCCTCTTTGTTCACCTTCCGTGCTGCAACAGGAGCAGCCTGAGGGCTTTGCTTAATCACAGACTTCTCCAGTTGGGATCAGCTCAGGGTGGGGGCCCTGCTGGAAGAGACACCGAGACTTGGGAGGTCGCTTTGGGCTTGTGGGCTTGCAATAACCTCTGTATTACAAATGGGTTCAGATCACCAACAGGTCGGTGGGCTGTGGACTTCTCCCGCTGAGCATGAAGGCCACACCTGTTGCTGTCTTTTGATGTTCAAGAAGAGCTGCCAGCAGCCCAGGCTAGTCTCGCGGCTGTAGAGGGGCCATGGCCAGTTCTCAGCTGCCTTGCTGCGCAGCTGTCTGACCCTCTGCGCCACGTCCTCTCACCTGGCCAGCCACCGCTTTCATCCATCCTCAGCAGCAAGGCATCGCCCACATGGCATTGGCTTCTTTCAACTTGTTCTCGTCCCAGATCAGCAGTTTGGGCTGAAGACGGTTGTGGGCAACCCCGGGGCTCTGGTTATAGCACGGGTGCCCGCCCAGCCTGCCCTGGCCTGAAAGCCCAGCCTGGCTAATGCGCATGTGCAGAACGCAGCTCTAGCAAACCCAGGAAGGGGCGGGGTTGCTGTGGTCCCGAGACCTGAGTCAGCTGTCACCTGGACATGTTCTTGAATTTCTCTTGGTGATTTCCCGACATTTCTGTCTATGGGATTGGATAAGATTTACTTGAAACTTGAAATTGATACTTCCAAGAAATTTACCCCACCTCCCTATTTCCACACATTTTCCTTTTTAAAAAAAAAATCAGTTATGGGTAATTTATAGACATCAAATTCTTTTATATAAGAAGCTTATATTTCCTGAGAGCATTTTCTTGTATAACTTTTGTACATTTACCCAAATCAAGCAATTCAACATTGATGCAATGCAAGTATACAATCTACATTCTATATTCAAATTTCTCTGAGTATTCCAATGATGTCTTATTTACAGGGTCTTTTCATTATTATTTTCGGATCTGGGATCCAATCCAGATTTATACATTGCAGCAAATGTTTAACTTCTTTTCAATATCAGTTTTTCTGGAACAGTTCCTTAACTTTCATTGTGAGCTGCGACACAGAACTTGGGCCAGTTATCATGTGAAGTGTCCCTCAGTGTGGGATTTTTCTGGTGGTCCCCTATGGCTGGACTGCAGTGGTTTGCTTGGGGCAGGAATATCACAAAAGTAACCTTGTACCTTCAGGATGGCTCATTTGGAGCTGCCTGTGTTTGTTTGGTGGTATAATCTTTGATTACTTGGGTAAAGTATTATCAGATTGATCTGATGTAAATTACTATTTCTCATTTTTTGATTAGCACGTCATTCATAATCCTTGTGTGAATCACTCAATGCTAACTTGAGGGCGCTGTGTGGTGATTTTCCCAAGTGTGGTTTCCTCCTATGCTGCTTAGGTTATGTCCTACCTTAAGGAAGGGGTTGCCCTTGCAACCTGTTTGTCAATTATGTCAGTGTGGAATCACAAGCCCTCGTTTTATTCCGCGGATGTTCTTTTGATATCACTACGTATTTAATGATCATAATGCTCAGCGTTAGCCACCAGTGTCCTTTGGAGAGGTCCTGGGTAGGTGTGGAGTGTGCTAGCTGCTCTCGAGCACTTCGCTGCTTTCTGGTGTAGCACCGGGTCCAGGGTTCATCTTGCATCTGGAATCCGCCATTTCTCCACACAGGGCACCACTTCCTTTTACAGAGAGTGGCATGTGCACCCCAAGGTCTGGGTTTGAGGTACAGAGAGGTGTCTTTGTGATCCTTCCATTGTGTAGAGCTAAAATACACACATTTATCAATATTTATTCCTTACCTACAAATGTAAAGGGAGATACAAGTAATTTGACC